CATATAAATGTGTTATTTTTAAGTATTTAAAATTCATAAATTAATTTTATTACAGGTAATTTTTTGATAAACAACCACAAATAAAAAAAAAAATTGATCTGATATGTTATGATCTAATTTAATATGGTCTGATATATTTATCATATATTTCTAGAATTGATAAGATATATTTGCTTTAAATAAGTTGAAATGGACATAACATTAGTTCACCTTGTTATTCTATTCTATGTTAATTTCAATATTATGTAATAAGTTTTGAGATAAAGCTAATCAAACAAACCTAAACTAGTACTACATTTTTCGTAAGTGATACACTTTTTGTAAACAACATTAGTTTGATTGCTATCCTTCCTTATTTTGAAAACTTTTACAAAATACTAATTTTTATTAATAATATGGAAAACAAATTTAAAATAAAGCTATATTTTTCTATTGCCTTTTATAAAGCCTAATAAAATTTCTCATGTGAAAATTCAACCTAAAGGTTTTTATGCATAAATATAAAAATATAGTCTAGTTCAAGACTTCTTTATAAAGATTCAGACTAAATTACACTAGAGACCGGATAAAAATAAATGAATACATTTCGTAACTCAAAGACCAAACTAGTACTCTACTACTCTTCTTTCGGATTCGAACAATTTATCTGGACCGATCTCTGATCACCTCTAAGTGAGATAATGTATTGACAAATGTAAAATGAGAATTATTGCAAGTAAAAAAAATTATACTTGTATAATAGAAGAGAGAATTATATAGAAAAAATACGGTGAATTATTCCATGAACTGAAATTTTTTTTATTATTTATAATTTAGTAATTTTGTGTTACACCCAAATAAGTTGATATAACTTGTGCAACTTATATACTAGGAAAAACTATAACATGATATAATTGATTGGTATGACTCAAATCAACTTTGAAGCAAGTCTGACCCAAGCACCCGAATAGACAATGCAACTCTAATTATAAATATATGGAGTACTTCGTATCACATAGAGGAAGCATCCATTAGTCTCTCTCTCTGCTTCTTGAAGGACAAAAACATTTGGTGCTGATCAGGGATATTGCTCTTGATAATTGGTACATCCTTGAAGTTGTTAAACCAATTATACAAGCTAGGGAAAGTAGTGACTTCAAATAACTTGATTTCCAATACTTGCTCAATAACTTCCAACCAATGTATTACACTCGCAACTGCAAGATCTGCTAGTCCAACATTTTCACCTCCAAAAAATGTATTAGTTCCTAGATTACCATGCTCTTCTAATGTTTCTAGCATGTCAAAGCACTCTTTCTTAGCTTTGGCTTGGTCCTCCCCTGTGGTTCGAAATAGTATCCAGATAACTATGCCCTGCAGTCATGTTTGTCACAATAATTACATGATTTTAAACGTTTAGTGACTAGCCCTTTTACCCCATGTGCTACACTTAAGGGTAAAGGCTAAAGATCAAATCTAAAGATGGCAATGGATCAGGTTGGCCCAAGGCACAACATAAATATGAGATTGTCATGAGCATAACATGACACACTATTTTGTTTGTCAAGCCTTGATTGAGACAATTTTCTTTTGGGAAACCACAACAAGGCAAGACCTAATAATCACACTAACATGCTAAAATAAAGTTAAATTTGACTTAGTCACACAAATACAATACACTTAGACACGTTGACACGTGAAAATGGATCGTGTTTGATTACCCTTTTACAAATTTTTGACATAACACATAGCTAGTGGGTTAGCTTACTAGGCCCAAGACATGCAAGCTAGACACGGCCCAGAACTATCTTTATTAATCAAATCTAATTCATAATTTATTCTAGCAGTTTAGGGTAGAAATTAAATTGAGCAACCACTAAGCTAATACCAACTTGGTTGGTTGACTGTTAATGTTCCAACATCACCATATCGAGATCGAAGAACTTCCGAGCAAAATTATTTGATAAAATACATCATAGTATGAACAAAGTTTAGAATTGTACCTTTTCATCGGCAAATTTGGCCCAAAATCTAACCATTGCTCTTTCATAAGGCTCCTTGGGTAATAATGGATGTTGATGAGGCCAAATTTCTTCAAGGTACTCAAGAATAACTAAGGATTCACATATTGGTTTTTCATTGTGAACTAAAACTGGAATTTTCTTATGAACTGGATTGTATTGTAGAAGCAATGAACTTTTATTAGCAAGATCTTCTTCAATATAATCATATTTTATGCCTTTTAATTCAAGCACCCCAAATCACTCTATAACTAAATGGGCTTGGCCAAGTTCCAAATAGCTTTACATTTTCCATGGTTCATTGAGAAGAATACACATATGTGATCTAACAATTATGTTTAATTAATAGAAGTTTACTTGAGGGAAACATCTAAGAAGGTGCTTTAAAAGTTTTTTAATCGTTTCTTCGGCATGACTTTTTGACTTTGAATTAAGGTTTTGTTATGTTTTTATATGGTGAAGTATTATTGTCACCATCAATCCCTAAGTAAATGACCAAGTTTGATTTGATTTACTTTGAAAGGATGTATTAATAAATCAATGTGTCATACTAATGAAGGTGAATGTCTATAAAGAAGGAAATATAGCAAGTGGGGATAAAGCATGTCTATAGAGAAGGAAATATAGGTGCAAATTGGTTAGCTTGTCAAGGTATTTAACAATTGTCATTCCAAAATATTCAGTCGGAAATATCAAATCTTGTTTACAATACGGAGTAGAAAACATGTAAACAATGTAACTTGCGTTCTACATTAATTTTATCGATAAGAAGTTAAAGAAATTTTTCTTTATGTTCATTAATAACATTAATTTTATCAATGAGAAGTTAAGAACTTTTTCTTTACATTCATCATAAATTTTTTCTACATATACTATCCCATATGAGCATGAGCACGAGCACGAGCACGACATGTAACTCTAAATAAACATAATTTTCCTTTTCTTCATATTTTTCTTCTTGGATGAGCTGAGTTTTCACATTTAATGCAAGTAATGAGTTAATTCAATATCTTATGAACCTATATAATAACATGTATGTTTAATTAATAATCAATTGGAATATTAATACAATGGGGTACGTTATTATCTCAAAAAAATTTAAGTATTACGGAATATAAAACTTAGTTTTAAGTGATACCAATGCAACTTATATGTAAAATTTTAACCTCATGAAACATTTTAATCGTCTCACCTTAGAATTTTATCATGTCATCAATTCAACCAACAAATTGTTGTTGTTTCAACAAAACTTTTGATGAGCATCGTTGGGTCATGCAAGTTCAACACATGATCGATGATGAAATCGAAGAAGACGATGGAGACATCCATGTATCCATATTCAATGTCCCTAATGCCTTAAGGATATAAATCCTAATGCTTACACTCCTCAATTGGTTGCTCTTGGTCCTTATCATTATCGACGTTTTAAGCTTCAAGAAATGGAGAGATACAAAATTTCTTCAGCTAAGAGGTTTCAAAATCGAAAGCAAAGCACAAAATTGCACACCATTGTGGATCAATTGATAATGCTCGATCATAGAATTCGAGCATGCTATCACAAATATTTAGACATTAGTAGAGAAACATTAGCATGGAAGATGGCTATTGACTCTGCCTTTTTGCTTGAGATTATTGACATTTATAGCAACAAAGAAGGAAAGTTTTTATGTCAAACTTCTTCCAAGATTGTTGATTTTGCAAGAAGGAAATCGGTATATAACACTATCTTGAGGGATATTATGATGTTGGAAAATCAAATTCCTCTATTTGTCCTAAGAAAAATTTCGAATTATTGGTTTCATTCTTCAAATATGGTTGATGAAATATTGGATGATGTCCTAGTTGGCTTATGTAAAGATGTTTCTCCTTTCAAAATGTTGAATTGGGCACAAATTCAACCCTCTTCTTGTGCGCATATTCTAGAATTTTTGTACAAAAGATTGGCTCCTAAAGTAGAAGAAACGGTTGAAATCGACGAAAATGTTAATCAAGGCATCAATGAGGAAAGAAGGTTATGTAAGTTGCTTTCACAACTTAAGGAGTCCTTACATCAAATTCCACTTAAAGCCGTCTTCAAATTACCCTGGATTTTCATTTGTAGCCTTCCTGGTTTAGCCATTTTTGTCTGCTGTTGTTTTGCCTAAGGAAAATAATTTCGAAAATCCTATTGACACCAAATCTACTCAAGACAACATGCCACCTTTATTTGAAGAAATTATGATCCCATCTGTCATTGAACTTTCAAAATCCGGGGTCACATTTTTGCCTGTTAATGGAGATATAATGAGTATTAATTTTGATCAAAAGAGTAAGAAATTCTATCTCCCTACCATTAGTATAGATGATAACACCGAGGTTATTCTACGAAACCTAGTAGCATTTGAGGCATCAAGCACATTAGGTCCATTAGTATTTACTCGTTACACCGAGGTAATGAATGGCATTATTGATACAAAAGACGATGTAAGGCTCTTAAGAGAGAAAGGGATTATACTCAACTACTTGAGAAGTGATGAAGAGGTTGCTAATCTTTGGAATGGGATGAGTAAGTCATTGAGATTAACAAGAGTTTCTTTCTTGGATGAAGTCATTGATAATGTCAATAGGTATTATGAAGGGAATTGGAAGGTCCTATTAAGTAGATTCATGAACGCATGTTTAATCAATTCTTGGCAATTTTTAGTATTCATAGTAGCTGCTTTAATCTTGTCATTGTTGATATTACAAGTATTAGGTTCACTCTTGTACAATGCTCGCATGGTTGGTCCACATCCTCAAGGATGAATATAAGCTAGGAATATAGCCAATTTGATTAATTTCATGTTTTTTTAGAAGTTAATGTTTTTATTATATATAAGTTTCTTTGCCTAGGAGTTGTTTAACGAAGTAAAATGTAACCGTGCTAATCGAGCTATGTAGTTTATGAAATTTACATCGTATATTTAACAATGAATTTGATTTTATTGTCATGCATTACAATGAAGTTGTAATTCATTCGGTAAAAAATGAAGGGCCTTGGAAATTATAACCATTAGGTGGTAAAGGGCCCCGAAAATTATAACCGGTAGGCAGTGAAGGGCCCCGAAAATTCATTCCGATAGTAAACTGAAGGTCCCGAAAATTATAGCCAGTAGTAAACTGAAGGTCCCAGAAATCATAGTCGGTAGTAGGATGAAGAATTGAAATTTTTTTTACCGAAATTAAATCAGGATCTTGAAAATGAAGGTGTAAAAATATTTCATAGAAGTTAAATTTGTCCAATAGTCATATTAATGTAAGTACCTTAGAAAATTGTCAAAATGACGTTCATCATCATTCATCAAGCCTTACAAAGTTCGAACAAATGAATGGTTGAAGACTTTGAGATAGGTTTACAAGTAAAATGTTAGGGGTGATTAAATAGGTATGGCGTGGAAGATTGTTAGGGATGGTAATGGATCAGAGGTGGGTCAGGTGATGCTTCATTTGCCTCCATCCACCAATGATCCATCCGTCACCCAATTCATCCATCCACCTAATTTACCTTCATCCACATCCGATCCATCCATCATCCATGGGTGGATCGGGTGATAATTCGAGTGAAATAAAATATATATAAATACAATTTTGCACTTTCACAATTAAGATAACGATTTGAAAAAAGTGAAAAATTAATTAAAACTTTGATATATCTTTCTAATACTTGCTTCGTTTTATTAACTTAAAAGCACATGTTACTTCCTAAACCTTGCAAATGGACATTATATTATTAAAAAAGTATTTATTTTTATTTTTATATATGTAAATTTAACGGGTGGATGGATGGATCGGGTGATGGGTTGGATGTATCATCACCCGAATCCGACCTGATCCGTCACCCGACTTGTTTCGGGGTTTTCTGATGTCCTGCGGGAGAGTTACAATTCCGAGACTGGATCCTTGCTCCTGTACCTGCAAAACAACGGAGACTCTGGGTGGTGGGAGCTCCGCCTCCGACGATCAAGTTAGTATTTGTATGTGGAGTAAATGGTGCGGAAAATAGAGAGGGGTGATCTGGTTCCTCTAGGGGGAGGAGTGATCGGGAGGTGCAAATAATGCTAAGTCTGGTCTAGAAATAGTATGCACGTGTGTTTAGGCTTCTCTAGGTGAGAGTAATTAATTCTGAATGTGTTAAATGGAGGCTTAATTACTGTATTTATAGCCTCGAAGTGTGTGCCCAATACTAGGTTTTAGGTAAACCTAGGACTGATTGGGCCTTGCCTCGGAAATCGGGCCTTGGTAGCCGTTTTCCAGGTTGGCATGTCATGGGCCATGTGGCGTGGCATGATTGGTCCATGCTGGACTGATTACTGCCTGACACGTGGCAGACCCTGGCTGGTCCATGTGGCGGACACATGACAGGACCTGATTGGTCCACGTGGCAGACTGTGGTTGGGCGAGGAAAATCCCCTAATCACGACTCATCCATCATCCATTTGTCACCCGCTTAAGTTCGGATTTTCATCGACATATTTGGATCGGGTGGATGGTTATCCATCGGGTTTGGATGATATTGCCACCCCTAAAGATGGTAGATTAAAACAAGGGTATCATTGAAAATATAAAATTTATTAAAAATTAAGTTATCTTGCATTTAGATAAAATCATACCCTGCATTTAGTACCTCCCTTCATGGAGAATATAAAAGAAACACCATTCAATACATAAATTAAATTAGCAATAATATATATATATATTTTTTAAATGAGAGACTAAAAAAGGGGTGTCACTTGGTGCTAAGAGAATCTCCAATGGTAAGCTAATTGTCAAATTAGCTTGTCATGCCACATATGATTTCAAGCTAATTCTGTCTGTAGCTATTATTGTGCCCCAATGGTTAGCTACTAGCTTGCTAATTAATAATTTTGGCTTTCTAAATTAGTTTTATAAATTTAATTATTTTAATATATTACACTCTAAAAATTTTGAAAACTTTTTCTCAAACAAATTAGCTTGGCTAAACTAATTGTATTTTTTAGCTCCAATGGTCAAGCTAATAGCTAGAGAAAATTGCAAGCAAGTCCCTTGCTACAATCATTAGAGTTGCTATAATGGTTTGAGTTTTTATATAATAATAGATAGATGTATTTTTAAAAAAGGTTAAATGTTTTCGTAGTGATGTTTATACTTTTTTGGCTATTATTCGTCTCTAATTGTTGTTTACGTGCTTTTCTTAGTTACCTGCTTTAAAGATAATATTATGTGCTTTTGTTCATCAAGTATGTGCTTTTATTGTAAGGAAAAATAGCAAAATTACCAATGTAATAGGATGTATGTTCTAATTTACTTTGTAGACACAGTAACTGCTTGAGTACTTCCTCTATCCCATACTAATTGACACGTTAAACTTTTTTCATTATTTATATTTGAACTTTGACTATAACATTTTACAAACGTAATAAAAACATATTATATCATGAAATATATTGTTAGATATGTATTATTATTAAGTTTCATAATACAACTTTTTAAAACTAATTTTTATTTATATTTAATTATATAAAACTAGTGCATCGAAATGTTTGCAAAGTAATAGACTAACTTTATCGAGGTAAACATATTAGCATTTTGACAACATGAAACAATAACTTTAAAGTTCAAACACAAAACCAATCATGATCCCATAAGCCATCAAACCAGGGCATGAAATAGAGGTGTCAAAATTCAGATTCGGGTTAAGTTCAATTCAGTTACGGATCAGTTCGGTTTTGACACCCCAGCCATAACCACCTTGGATAACGTTTTGGCACGAACCCAAGAGGCCAAGACACACAACACACAACAATTTAAAGTAACTTTGAATTGGAGATGGTAACTTCAAAATTA